ATAACATATAAAAATCGTAACAGTATACTTTGTATCATTTCCTTCTAATGCTATTATCAAATCTTCGTAGAACATTTCAACTACCTCTTCCTGATGTGTTGTTGTGGGAGCGTACACTTGTATAACCTTTTCATCGTTATCGAAACTTATACTGCGTCATCAGATTTAAGCAAAAAATGGGGACTTTTTTCATTCATTTTAATATTGTGAAAAAACTAGACGTTCAACAGACGACTTTCTTGAAAATACTTTCTCCTTAAAATGAGATTTTCTAAATTAAAAATAATTATAAACAAAAAAGTTATTGTAAATTAAATTCGAAAGTAAGCTTGTTTTTCAGTTGTTTATAGTTATTAAAATAATAAAATCATATAAACATATTTCATAATGTGAGTTTTTATGTATTTACTACATTTGTGAAAGGTGTGTACAATCGATCAAGTAGTTTTTAAATCCCGTTTTTATCCCGTTTGAAAGAACAAAGGTCATTTTCAAATAGCTGTACAGGTGCTTTGTCAATACTTAGAATGTTTTTTTTGTCCGATTTCATTTTCAAATGACTGCACAGATGCTTTGTCAATACTTAGAATGTTTTTTTTGTCCGATTCTCTTCTAATGTCTTAAATTTTCATGTTTTTTTAAAACTATAATAATTTTTAATTGTTTACATACAAATAATTGATCTTCTTCTTAGAGTGCCGTCTCCCTACGGTGGTTGGCAATCATAATGGCTATTTTTATTTTAGAACTTGCTGCTCTAAACAAATCAATCGATCTGCATTGGTACCAATCACGTAGATTCTTTAACCATGAGTTCTGCCTTCGGCCAACAGATCTTCTTCCTTGAATCTTTCCCTGTATTATCAGTCTCAAAATTTCATATTTTGGTCCCCTCATCACGTGGCCTAGGTATTCCAGTTTTCTGGTTTGTATAGTGGTGATTAGTTCTGTTTCTTTACCAACCCTCTCCAGTACTTCTTATTTGTAATTCTATCAGTCCATGATATTTTCAATACTCTGCGGTATAACCAGAGTTCGAAGGCCTCGATTCTTTTTAAATTACATTTTTTTTAATGTCCAAGTCTCAGCTCCATATAATAATATTGAAAATATATAACAGCGAATGGTACGTAGTCTGATCTCCAAATTAGATTTTTGCACGTTAGGAGTGGCTTCATTCGTATAAATGCTGATCTGGCAATCTCTATTCGTCTGTTTATTTCTACAGTATGATCATTGGTTTCATTGATCAAAGTTCCCAAATACTGATATTTTTCTACTTGTTTCTATCACGTTACCATTTATTGTCAATAGGTGATGTATATTTTGTGGCCTTTTTGTAATCAGCATGTACTTCGTTTTTTTAGCGTTTATAGTAATTCCCATCTCAGCACTATTTATACTCAAGCTTTCGATAAGATGTTGTAGATCCTCTATACTCGTTGCTATGATCACAGTGTCGTCTGCATATCTTAAATTATTAATTAATTTTCCGTAACAGTGACTCCCGCTTCGATATTATTGAGCGTGTTTTGGAAAATTTCTTCAGAATATAAGTTAAACAAAAGTGATGATAACACACATCCCTGTCTAACTCCTCTACAGATCTTCATTTCTTCTGAGTGTTGCCCATCAATTTGAACTATGGCACTTTGGTTCCAATATAATGTTTGCACTATATTTATGATTTTACTGTCAATGCGCTTGTTCATAAGTATTGATATTAGTTTTTCATGTCTTACTTTATCGAAAGCTTTTTCGTAGTCAACGAAGCACAAGTGTAGATCAACATTCGACATCGCTGAATTAATATGTTGATGGCAAATAGTCCTTCTCGAGTACCCATTCCATTTCGGAACCCGAACTGCGTCTCGCTAATATCCTCCTCTAGTCTTTCGTATATTCTCTTATGTATTATTTTTAGCAGAACTTTTAAAGTATGACTCATGAGGCTCAGTGTTCGATAATCAGAGCACTCTTTTGCTGCTTGTTTTTTAGGGATAGTTATAAATGCTGACTTTAGCCACTCCTGTGGTATTATTCCCGTATCGTACACCGTGTTGAATAAATCTGCCAATACTTCCAAGTTGTCCTCTTCCACTAGTTTTAAGAGTTCTGCTGGTATTTCATCTAATCCAGCTGCCTTATTGTCTTTAGAGTTTTTGATAGCATATTTGATTTCATCTATCGTGATCTTCTGTATCTCTAAATAATTGATACAGACCATTATATTGGCAATATCCCTAACTTATGCCGCGCTGTATATTTACCTCACTTTTCAATAGTATCTTAACTAGCTACTCACGGGCACCACCAGGATTATTTTTCAGGTCGGTGCATCTGCTTTTCAGGGAGTGCATTTGTAGATATGTATTTTTTTTTCGGACAGGGGGTGCATTTATTTATTTTTCTAGTTTCCTTGCTGCAGGAGCATATAATACTTCAATAAAGTTAATATTTAGGGGATTCATTTGCTGCGTAGCCCCCCTACATTATAAGTTGTTTACTTGATATGTTTTGATCCTCTTGTCAGCTACAATCGCTACTTCATTGGAATAATCATCATCATCAGTGGTGCTACAGCTCTAGTTGAGCCTTGACCTTCCCCAGTCTATTTCGCCAGTCGTTTCTGTTCATCGCCAACCGTTGCCAATTTGCCGCGCCGATTTTCCTTGCGTCCTCGTCCACACCGTCCCTCCATCTCAGTCGTGGTCTGCCTCTACTCCTATTTCCCACTGGGACCGATAATAGAGTTCGTCTGGGTGGGTAATTCTCATTTGCTCTTGACACATGTCCAGCCCATCTAAGCCTGCCTATTTTTATGAAGGATATTACATCTCTACCATTTACTATTTTTTTATATTTCTCGTACAATTCGAAATTATATCGCCTTCTCCAAATACCATTCTCACAGAATGCGCCCATTATTCTTATTGAATAATAGTGATATAATAATTAAAAAATATATAAAAATTCTATTCCACTAACCTGAAATTACGTTTTAAATTTTTATTTAACAATATGTTCATATATTTTTGCTTTTGTCAGCAGATTAAACCTTTACTTAGCGTTTTGTGAAATAAATTTACGAGTTAATTTTAGTCACTCAACACTAGATGATTGACGACAATAAAAAAGCTGTTGAATAGTGAACTCATGTTGATTTATGAACAGTTTCCATTTATTTAATGATATAATATACCATGTATTTAATGATCACCTTTTGTAGAGAATAGCACCATCACAAGAAAATAAACGATATTTTAATCGTGGAAATATTTCGCATGGAATATTGTGACTATAAAAGACCTTTAATATGTACAAATTCCATATAACTGCCGATAAAATGTAACAAATTAAAAGAATACGTTTTTCTTTGCTCAAGTTGCTCCACCGAATTTTGTTTTTATGGCGGAAGGGCGCACCTTCGCCAAAAACTCGACTCTGTTAGGCCTTTCTGGTGCTCGAATTTAATTTTATAATTAAATTAAAATAAATTAAACGATTTTAATAATTTTAATTAATACAAACAGTGGGAATTTTAAAGGAACGAAAACTGGCGAAAATTGTCGCTTATATTTATTTTAGTTTCTTATCATAAGAAATTATTAAGTAGTTTACTTTTCTGCATTATTTTCTTCTTGATTTTAAAGAAATTATCAAAGGGGAATTGAAGACAAGGTAAAAATGGAGAAGCAAGTGAACCCATCTATTATCCTTGCTGATTTTTATCCTCCTCCTCTTCTATCTTTTCGCCTTTGTAAGAATGTAGTAACATCATATAATTCATGCATCTCTCTCTTGTGCATGTTCTTTTGCTTTAGAGAATGAATAATCAGTTATATCCTTGATTCGATCCGACCATCGTGCTGAAGACTTTTCTCTGTACTTTCTTTTGCCTGCTACATTGCCTTCAACTATCATTTGTCCCATGCATTTGGACGAATATTTTAGAATTTGTCTCTTGTGACTCTACCTGAGATGAACCCGTATTCTTCTTGAGGAATCTGTGGTATTAGTACTGTTTTTAGTCTCTCATTGATTATAAGTAAGGAGTCCTTAGCTTGCATTTGATATTCCTGCTACTGTACGGTAATTGTTGCAATCTGTCGGTGATCCTTTTCTGTATATGGGAATAAAAGTGAGTTTACGCCACTCATTTGGCCACTTTCTGGTGTTCAGATTTCATTGCAGATTCTAAGCATTACTTCAATCCCTACCTTTCCTATTTCTTTCTATTTCCCTATTCTATCATTCTCTCTTTCTCTTTTTTCTAACCTATTCAACCTATTGGTTCAAGATTGAGGCCGTATCACTTAGGATATTTCCTTCTCCACCCATTGGCTTAAACTCTTTACTCATTTTGTTTACATTTCTGTAGAATTTTCGACTTTCGTTTTGATTACTGCTTTTCTTCAAATTACCTTTTTTTTTCTTCTATTTAATCTTTTTTTCTACCCTTCTTAGGGTTCGGTATTCTTCCTTTGCTCTTTTTGTGAATCTAGCTTGACTTGTCTTTAGGTATGCTCTATTTTTGTTACCTGTTGCTCCTTGGTACTCCTCGTCAAACCATTCGTTTTGTTTAACTGGTTTGTCTTTCCCCAATATTGCCAATGCCTCCTCAGTTATTATGTTTACACACTGCTGCGATATCTTCTAGGTTTGTTATGGTTTTTCCACTATTATCTTTGTTGATCTGTGTCTGCAGTTTGAATTATCCCTCTGAATATTTAACTAAAAGATATGAATGTTATATTTTTAATGAGATTTCATGCTTTTCTGTTTATATTCACGACAATAATATCAGGCTAATAATATATCAAAAAAACATATTCAAAGGACAAAAACTTATTTTCCAATAAAATTGCCTGCTGTTTATATATGTAGTTAACAAATTCAGTGATAGTTAAAACCAATTCTTTCGTTGTTCAAGCATCAGAAAATAGTCTAACAAATTTTACGCTATATTTTTTTATTTATCCCCTTACCGTCCCTAATAGATGGACACAGATGTTACCCAGCAAACAAATACTGTTATCGAAGAACCTCAAAATAATTCCCGCTCCCCCAAAAAGAATTCGAAAGATGGAAGAAACAACGTATCGAAGAAAGACATCATCATGTCATCGTCGGACGACAGCGACGTAGAACCTGACCTAGTACAAACCATCAACCATAACGTTAGTACCTCTTTTGGCACCATGAAGGAGTTAGTACAAGAAGATGAGACCAATACGTTCTTGCACAGATATTTTAGCAACCATAGTAATAGTTTACCTTCCAAGATGACCTTGGCGTCTAGAAGATTGTCTCAGTGTAGGGAGGAGGATGAAGAGGACGAGAAAAAGGAGCCCTCGAATATGGCGGCGATTTCCGGTTAGTAAACTAAGCGCAAAATAAAACTCGTTACACGTCATAGACAGTTTCTTGCCACATTTCATTAACTTGCAAAGTAATATAGCATTAAATTTAATTTGTGTCTCGTCTTTATATCTTGCTTCTCTTTGGTAGTCATAAGGTAACGTATAAAACATTGTTTGAGTTGACCTTACAAGTTCTAACTGAATCAGTGTTTGTGATTTTCAAATGTTATGCTACCATACGGACTAGGCACATAGGCGTTTTTTGGACTAAGGCTGCTCTAGGCTATTATCTGCTATAATACCCAAGGGCTCCAAATTTGAGCTATTCCTGCTGTTCCGAACATCTAATCCTTGAGTTAACTTGTGACCTCACAGAAAGCCACAAGTATTTTTAAAGGTAACTCCCTCATTTGGCTCGGTTGCATAAAGGCCGAACACAGCATCTGCCATCTCTGATAGGCCATTACCTGTCACTTCCTGAGGTTATGCGAGGAGGTTTCCTTCTCCTCATCACAAAGACGGACACCGTGGGTCATCCGCCAATCCAACCAAATGAAGGTTCCGTCTTAGTCTGCAGTGGCCATTAATCATACTGAACACTAAGGAGAAGTTGGACTGTAATACTTTTGCATGGCCTCACTATGTGGAGCTTAGCCTGTCTCATACCCTGACAACTGCGTCAGGAGTCCTGGAACCTCCGCAATAGATGGTCCGACCCCACACACAGAGTTATTTTCCAAATGTAGTACATTGAAATCTAATGAAATGCCTCTTCCGAATTTAATAAAATAATCATGCTATTTAAAGGGTCAGAAAATCGCCAAAAAAAAGATGTGAGATTTATTGGTTAGTTTTGGGTAAACAGTTTGTACACAGATACCTACAACGTTTTTTGTGTTTACTTTTCTGCTCTACAAAAAAAAAACTATTTCTTCTTCTTTTGGTATCATAGTCCCGGATGGGTCTTTGCCTGTCTGCTTATGTCCTTCCATTCACATCTCTCTTGGACCCTTTTCCTCCATTGTCTTATATTCATGGTTTTCAGGTCGTCTTCCACGTCATCCAACCATCTCGTCCTGGGCCTTTCTTTTTTCCGCTTTCTTACCGGTTTCCACTGTAACAGCTCCTTTGTGTTTTCGTGTCTTCTGTCGCTGAACGTGTTACAGCCATGACAGTCTTTGACTTTTTACAAATCCTACAATGTCATACCCTTCATTCAGTTCATTAACTTCGTCGTCCTCTTGCACTGGGCAATATAGGTACTTTACTCAGTATCTTTCTCTCTAATGTTCTCAGTTGGGCTTCCTCTTTTTTCGTCATTACCCAGGTATACGTCGTCGATCTGATTCTTTGACTGTCCATGTCTCGCATGCATAGTAAAATATGGAAAAGACCAGAGTTGAAACGAGTCTCTTTTTGTTTGTCATAGTAATGTGACGGGTCTGGCGTGATCGTCACATTACTATGACAAACAAGAAGAGACTCGTTTCAACTCTGGTCTTTTCCATATTTTACTATGCATGCGAGACATGGACAGTCAAAGAATCAGATCGACGACGTATAGACGCCTTTGAAATGTGGACATGGAGACGCCTGCTTCGAATTCCATGGACGGCTCGCCGTACAAATATCTCGGTTCTGGATGAAATTAAACCGGATCAGCGTCTCTCCAGTACCGTTTACTCTAGAATTTTAAAGTTCTTTGGCCATATCCATCGAAATGATCACAAAATGGAGCGGTTGGTGGTCCAAGGAAGGCCTCAGACTCAACGCCAACGCGGAAGATCTCCACAGCAAACAGTAACTGAGGCAATACATATAACTGATGACCGCGACCAGTGGAGAAATATTATCAATCAAACTGTCCGAGCTGCTGAAGCCCAATTATGAACCACAACACATCTACTAAGATGTTAATGACTGTGATGATGACCCAGGTTTCACAACTATAGGTTACTACGGGTCTAATCAAAATTCTGTAGATAGTCATTTTGGTTCTTTTGTCTAATAATTTCGATGTCATCAATCTTTTATTAGCATGGTATGTACGATTTCCACTGGAAATACGTGCATTAATTTTGCTACTTACGGAATTCTTCTGATTGATTTCTGTACCCAGATATGTGAAGGCATCCACACATTCATTAGTATTATTGTCTATTGCTGTATTATTTTCATTCTCAGGTGTTCTTTTGATGGTCGTGTATTTAGTTTTTGTTTCGTTTATTTTAAGCCCTCTTTTTGGTGCTTCAGGATCAATTTCCCTTGAACCTTTCCATTAGCCTAACTGCGGCTTTTGAACCCTGCAACGTCATTTTTATGAGGCTGATAAATTTTTTGGTATACCTAGATTTCGGAGGTCTTCCAGCATTTTGTCTCTTGTCACACTATCAAAAGCTTGTTTAAAGTCTATATACATATTATATAGTTCTATGTCGTATTCATAAGCTTTCTCTTGTATTGTTCTAAGTATGAATATGTTGTTTTTAGTGGCTCTATTTGGTCTGAGTTCATTTTGATAATCACCAATTATATTTTCGGAGTATTCTAACAATCTAGTGTAGATAATGCCAGAAAGGAACCAGACCATACATTTAGCAATATAATTGGTCTGCAATTTTGGCATTCTCTCTTATCTCCTTTTTTATATATTGGCTGTATAAGACCAACTGCCCATTCATCGGGCATTTACTCCTTGGTCTATATCAACTTTATCAGGTAATAGATTATTCCCCAGAGTTCGGGTTTTCCATATTTCAACAATTCTGCCGAGACTCGTCCGTTCTCCAGTTCTCCATAGAATCTTTCAACCTCGTCTTCATCTTCATCTTCCGTCAGTGCATATACATTAACCATTGTCACGTTATGCAGTTTACCTTTGGGTCTTATTGTGCAAATTCTGTCTGATATTTGTGTAAATGCGATAATGGCTTTTCGCAGTCTTTTAGTTACTATAAACCCTACTCTTCTATTACCTTGTCTCATTTCATTTAGGGAGTAGTATAGTGAGAACTTTTTTACGAATTTCTACGAATAAAAAACTAGTACTGGTTCTTTTTGCATTTATCTGAGTCTTCACATAATATTTTTTGTACTGCTCTAAGATCTATGTTATACAATATCAAAGTTTGTTTTGTATATGTTACAAAGATAAGGTGCTAACATTTTCTATGACCTCGAAGAACTTTTAATAATTAATAAAAAAATACCTAACACAATTATCTATTACATCGGGCCAATTAGTGGAACCATTTTTGGCCATTTCCTAATATGTTAACGGTATAATTGATTAAATTAATTTAATCGATGTGCACTAATGAAGTGCTAGCATTTCATAGCTGAACTACGAACTGTCTAGGTCTTCGATATATTGCACGGAAAATTGCACAATGATTTTGCAATGTAACATACAGTGAGGGGCATGATTATGGAATAAATTTATTTTTCGAGAATGGGTGACTTTGGAGACAAGTCGATTTTTATTTTTCAATTATGAGTTTTGGCATATATAGGGTGCGTTCTTAGTGTAACGTTGATCGACAATTCTATTCTTCTCGTAGCACTACAACCCGGGGTGGGTTTTGGCTGACTGCACAACGGCTTTTATCTTGAACGGTCGTCCATAATAGTTGGGTCAGTGGGTAGCCCCATTGTTCTTAGATCTGACCATATATTGTCTCTCCATTGCATTCGTGGACGTCCTAAGGGCCTTCTTCCTGTGGGGGCTTCCTCCCATATTAACTTGGCAAGGCGGTTATTAGGGAGTCTATGGACATTGCCAGCCCATCTTAAACATTGTGATTTAATCTCTTGGACTACGACAATTCCATTATTGTACCGAATATACGACCAAGCTATTTAGAAAAAAAAGTAGGCAATGATATTCTCTAGGCTTGGAAAATATGCTGAATTCTACAGGGTGATTAATAACTACGTGCTAAAGCAATAATTACATATCTGATGGATTTTTTAATCCAGTTAAAGGTTTGCCTTGAACAAATGATAGACTTATGGATCCAAACTTTAGATTTCGTGTCCAGCATTAACCCACGTTTCATCCAGGTAATAAATCTTAAAACGAAAGAGTATCATAAATGTAATCTTTGAAAAAAAAATAAAACATAGAGTTACTTTTAAAAAAGTATGAGAAAATCGTAATTTTTTTTTGTTCACTCTATATACGAATATTTGTTAATGATTTCTGTTAAACTTAATTTGAAAACTATTCGTTACACTACAGAAAGATGTAAGTAATTTAAACGTAGAAAAAGGTTATCTGAAATAAATTACATATGTAAAATGAATACTGAATTCAGTGTGTTTATTTCATGGCGATTTCGAAATAAAACTCATAACTCGTTAAATACTCGGTATAATAGTGTCAAGCTCCATATTTTAAGAGGAGCGATTATGAGAATCGGGTATATTTTCCAAGTCTGAAGAACATCATTGCCTACAATTTTTCTTTCTTCTTTTTTTTTATTCCATAATCATCACTACGATGATGATTATTACAATTGCAATCTGGTCATAAGTGACCAATAAGCCATTTTAATTTAAACTAAATTACTACTGTGCCTTAAAATTAAGAGCTTGCCCCATAGCGTCTCTTATCTTAACTAACAAGGTAGTGCACTACTCTAATATGCACACGCGCACAAGCACTAACCTCTGCTTCTAACTCTCACCTATCATTCAAACTAGTTCAAAAGGCTTTGTCCTCTTCAATCTTCTAGTTGGCCAAGTAGTATCGAGGAGCTGGATTGCCTCAATATTCTCGTGTCTATGAAGTCGTTGCTCGTGGCTTCCTACCATCTTCTTGATGATTATGTCCACAGTTTCCATTATTATTCCCTTATGGAGGTCACTGTTTGTCACATACCAAGGAGCATCTACAATATATCTCTCAGTATTTTATTCTGGAATCTTTGTATTATTGTTATATTAGTTGGTCTAGTACACCCCCATAGTGGGCATTCTTAAGTCCATACATGTCTCAATATTTGTAAAGTA